GGCCTGGCCCGGGCGCCCCATTTGCTCAGAACAAGGGCGTCGCTCCACCGGGGAGCTGATTCTAGCATTCCCGGCGCGCACCTGCGTCCCCGCGTTCCGAAGGAGCTGCAGGAAGACACCACTGCTGCTCCGGGTGGGAGGTTTCCTGTAAAGGCAAACCTCCCTGGAGGCGACAGGGCCCCGCCCAGCGCCGGGGAAAACGGGCTCAGCTGCGCCAAGTGACCTCCTGCCCCGCTGTCAGTCAGGGAAAAGGGGAGGGGTCCTTGAGAGCTGTCCAATCAGGGGCGCAGCAAGCAGGTGGGCGGGGCGACGCTGCGCCACCACGTGGACGCTCCCACTCCCGCGGTAGCGTCTCAGCTGCGCCGAACGATCCAGGTGCTTCAGCTGCCGCGTGGGCAGCGCTGTGACCTGCACAGCCCGGGAGCCGCAGGGATGACGCCGGGGGACCCAGAAGCCGGCCAGCGGTGGGTGTGCGGGGCCGGGTGTCCCGGGAGGAGGTGGAAGAGCCAGTCGAATACGGCCTTGGCGGGACCCGGGGGCACCGCCCGAAACTCGGGCCCCTGCGGCGTGGGGGCTGGGCCGGCAGCCGGGCCCGGCGTCCAGTCCGGTTACAGCGCGCGGCCCCGGAACCTCTCTGGGCGGCTCTGCGCCCGCAGCCTGGCGTCTCCCCAGGTTGTGCGGTGACCACGGGGAGGTTCCTGAGGGACAGTCTTGATTCGGCCTCCGGGGCTCGTGCGTGGGAGGAGCTGTGCTCTGTGGGGTCCCCGTCCATCCTTTCTCCACTGCGGGAACCGTTTTCTCCTGAGTTTCCTGAGTGTTTGGGGAGCAGGGTCTCAAATCCCCGACCCTCCCCCATCCTACCTCTTCCTAGGACTGGCAGTAAATCCAAAATCCACATCCCTCCCGCCTCCTGAAATGCCCGCTTCGCGTCTCCCACTCATCGCTATTTGTGTTCCGGGGTTCGTTTCAAACAGACACAGTATTTTAATTGTAAGTTTCCCATAGCCAAGGCATTGCTGCTAAAAAATGTTTAGTGTGTGTGTGTGTATTTTACATGAGAGGGAAGCAAAGAATAATCACCTGGAACTACGTTGCGTGAAATCCTCATGCCTCCGCCCCAGGATCTGCCCTGGGCACAGACGTCCCAAGGGAAGTCCTGTGGGTGGAGGTTCCTGTTTGGAGACTCTCCCGGGTGATGTGTCCTGTCAGCGCTGTTCCTCTCAGTCACCTTGAAAAGATACATTTACTTTTTTATAGTCTCGGTTTTACAGTCAATGGAAAACGTATTTAATCAAGAGATCCTGAAAAACAGAATAAAACATTTTCAAAGAGGCAAGAAAGGTGAAATTCAGAAAAAAAAGAAAACAGTATTACATTGCATGTGTTAAAATTTGTTCCCCTTTTTTCTTCCTCTATGGGGTAGAACATGTTTCTGAGGTCCATTCCTTACTTTAGGGTGATTTCGAATGGAATTCCAGAGCTTACACTGGCTTAAATATGATTGTCTACAAAACAACTTTTGGGGAGGAAATAAAAAATTTACACCATTATTTTCTGAAAGCAATAGATGGGTTTCCTTGTTGAGCCAATAAAGTACTCTTACATTTTTTTTTCTGTCCTTTATACTTGACCACTGGATTTGATTATTTAACACTTATAACTCTAACACTGGGTTTTTGTATTTAAAATATCACTCATGGTCTAGAGCAGTTCCAGTGGGAAGCAGAGACTAAAGTCCTGGTCTCCAAACTAAAGCCCCTTTGAGCGTGCGTAAGGAAGTATTTGAGGACGGACCCCGTTGGATTCTTCTGCCAGACCCACCCACTGCACGTGTCCTGCCTGCTCAGCACTTACCAGGGGAGGGAGTTTTTATACTGAGAGAAGCTGCAGAGCCCCCCCAAAGCTGGGGATGCATGCTGGGGGATGAGGCCGATGTGGGGCACGATCGCCTAGCTCCTCGGGAGGACCTTCCCTCCTGGGATAGGTCCCTGTGTCAGGTGTGTGAGTCCCAACCAGACTGTATGTCAGCCCCTCCCATCCTCCTCCATGTGGCTTTTTCTTTATGTCTTCAGTGCAGAACAGCTGTTCTTCTAATCTTTTTTTTTAAGGTATCATTGATATACATTCTTATGAAGGTTTCACAAGAAAAACAATGGATATTACAGTCATCCTTCTCGAGTCCCCCCCCACCCCATACCCCATTGCAGTCGCTGATCATCAGTGTAGGAAGATGCCACGGAGTCCCTGTTTGTCTTCTCTGAGCTACAGTCTTCCCGGTGACCCCACACACAGCATGTGCACC